ATTCTACCATCAGCCACCCATTGTACCCAGAACTAGATTTCTAAGACAAGGAGGCAGGCGTAACACTACTTTATTTCACCCCAAAAGGTCAGTCCTATTTCTTCTTACCATTTCTTAGCAAAGAGAGAATAAATAAAGATTTTCCCATGAGCATCTGGGGCTCCATCACACTGGGGCTGCTGCTCTTACTTGTCCTGCCACCGCACTCAGCTGGAGGTGGCGGTGCTCATCCTTGCTTGTCTCCACAAGGTCAAAAGCAATTCATGTGTCTCTGTCCCACCTCCTTCACCACCTTCACAACCCATTTCCACTTCCCCATACATTCCTCTCTGATCTCTCAGCCAATACTTATTCCCCCACTCTCCTTTGTTGATTCACCATTTATTCAGCGTTCATTCAGCAGATATCTATTGAGCATCAACCAGGCACTGTTCTAGACACTGGGGATCTAAGAATGAATAATCCCTGCCATCATGGAGCTTACATTCTAGTCCCACAGTCCACCTTATTTTCTGCCCCAATTACTGGCATATCAAAGCATACTCACTCTGTCCTGCATCCGTGGCCCCAAAGGTAAAACAATGTGACTTGGTAGACTTCCAAGCTCTAGAATCCTTAGTGTTATTTATAGTCACCAAATAAAATTTCGAGAGGCAGAGAAAAGCAGGTTTAACACACCAGGAACAAAATTTCAAATTGGAACCTAAGCGTTAGAATGGGAAATAACGTTTCTGGTCGCGGTGTGGAGAACGTGTTTTGAACCAATCACAAGCAAGCCTCTGTGACTGGTAAAAAAGGTTGCATATAAGCCAAAGAATGACAAATGCCATGAAACGCTTCTCACCAGGTGCAAACTATTGGATAAAATTAAATGCAACCCATTGCTTCACTTCCTTTTCCTCCATGTCATGATAATTCTAAGAGCCTCAGGTTGGCTCTCTTAGACACAAAAACCATTGAGGTCTTAGATGAGTGGATTCATTCAGAAATCCAATAAGTGATAGTGAAAAGGAGGCAGGATCTTGGAAGCAGAAACCATGTGGCTCTTACACAGAGAAGCTATATCAGTTGTAATAGTCAAAAGCCCAGAGGATGCTGAAGTCAAGAGCTCAGAAGAAGAGAAGCATCTGTGATAGGAATATTGCACCAAGGGAAATGGTGAGAGTGGAAACAGGGAGGATTCTATGAAGATGTTGTGTGTCAAGACCTCGACTGACATAAATTCATGTGAGAAACTCCTCCACCTCATCCCACCAGGAGACAAGCAGAGGACCAGAGAAAGTAGAGAATAAAAAGAGTGGCCTCTTTAGTTATACAGGTCATGAGTGGGTCCCAAGCTGCCATTTTGAAGTGACAGTGTGATTTCACCATCCTAAGGATCTTAGGGTGACAATTGTTTATGAAGTCACAATTATCCTGTGATAAGTGCCTTTAAAACCTGGCTGCTTCTGCCCCTGCCATTCTGAGAATGATAGAAACTGACTGAATCATTAGCAGTTACCCGAATCTCACAGGTGTCTTTGTCACCCTCTTCACCAAGTCACTCCACATTTTGTTCTACGTGGTGATTGGTAGGTGGGCTGTAACTGACAGAAGAATGTAAATTACCGTCTTTCAAACACAAGTTGAAACTAGGTCTGCATGACTTCACCGGTTTAGGGCAAGGGTTAAGAAATATCTAATTTTACCAGACAGAAAATGGAACAGGCGATGAAAGGCACAAAATTCTTATTATTCAACACCGGATCTTGCTGAGACATCCAAAGCACCTCAAGGTTTTAACACTTTTTTTTTTTAAAGATTTTTATTGGGGAATTGGGGGGATGGGAACAGTGCTGGGGAATTGGGGAAAGGGGAACAGACAAGTTGCCGTCGTCTTCGTTCTTCAATCTAGTTGTGGAGGACGTTGCTTCACTGGCCCAAGTTGGCACCATCATTGCGCTCTTCCCGGGCGAGGCAGATCAGTCGCCGGCTTCTGGACGGCCGCTCACTGCGGCTGCTGGCCGCTCACGCTGGCTGCTGGCTACACACGGTAGCCCATGGCAACCCACTGCCACAGGGACTGCAGCCCACACCGTCGCCGGCGACTCATGGCAGCCCAGCTCCAGGTTGAGCTGTTGTTCAGCATCTTAGCTGTGGAGGGCAGTGTCACTGGCCCTCATATGTGGGATCCGAACCGGGGCCCTCTGGCATCCCAAGACAGTTCTTAACCATCGCGCCACTCGGCCGGCCCATTAACACCTTTTTAAAAAAGCACTTCTCTTCAAGTTCATGTCCTTCCTGGTCTTATTTATGGTCAGACTAGCCATGTGACCTTGGTCTAATTACCCATCTTTTTTGGATCTCAAATTTTTCAATGAAGATAATAATAACTACCTTTCAAGGGTGATGTAAAAATTTAAGGAAAGAATACAAGTGAAGGGCTTAGTAGAACCTACTCTCTGTTGTAGTTTTTCAGTTAACATTTGCTTAATGATCAATGATTGCACAAATGGATAACCCGTAAATGGACAATGTTTCTTTCCTTTTCTTATACATCCTCATTCCAGAGTCATCTAAGACATAAACATGAAAAATAAACCCTCTGTTTATTCTTACATAGGAATTCATAATTTGTAAGATAAGACATTATCTATCTCATTTAGTGCCCGTTAAACTTCTTGAGAGACAGTTTAAGCAGGAGTTGCCATTTTCATTTTACAGAAAGAGAAAGTGAGGTTAAAGGCAGTAATTTTAATTATTCAAATACACATATTAATAGTAAAATGAAGGAAGGAAGAGAGGGAAAGAAGGAGAGAGGAAGGACTCAAGCCCAGGTCTTCTAACTTTAACTCCAAATTCTTTCCATTTTGGAAAACCACCAGCCCATATATCCTTGAACACTGAACCAACTCATCTGTAATCATTGAACCAAGTGTTAACACAATGAAAACAGACATTTCTTTCCTGACTAAACATGATTAATGGCTTAATCTATCTACAGTATCATTTCTGAAAAACACAAAAAAGGCTTTTTCATATAAGATTGAAAGAAAAGGGTCAAGCTCAGAAAAGGCAATCTTTCAATTAACCATCTCCAAAATGGCTTCTAGTGAAGCAAAGATTAAGACACATAGTCATTTCAAATATGTCGTTCGCAGTGTTCTTATCTGCCAGTCAATATCTAGAACAATTTCAGATGAAGCTGTAGGCAAGTTTATAATGAAGGAGAACTTTTAGATTAGACACCAAAGAGGTGGACGAACTCAGAAATTTCAACACTTGGCTACTTAAATGGAATGATATCCCAAAATCGAGTATAAAAACTAAAGGGGGAAAGGATATATTAATATTAACTGAATGTCTCCTACATGCTTAGCGCTGAATTGAAAACCCTAAATATAGTCCCACTTAATCTCACCGTGTACATGAAAAGTAGATATTTTTATCCCCATTGTACAAATAAGATTCTGTAGCTCATGGAATTTAGGTAACTTACCCAGAATTAGTGACTGAAGTTCAGTTAAAACCCTGACTTGTCTGAACCCAGAGCCTATGTTTTATCACCTGATCAGGAATTCTGAACCAGCAGTCCACTGATCAGAACAGGGCTGACAGGAAAGGAAGAATACAAATGCCCGTGTCCTATTCTGGTACCAGTATTCTGATTCAGTACAGCTCGAATGGAGCTCATAACTCTGCAGCTTTAACAAGTCCTCTGGGTTATTATAAGGGACATCTAGGTATGAGAAACTATACCATGTTGCCTACTCATGGGGACAAAAGCCTGTTTCTTAATAGCAGAGATGCTTGGCATCGTTAGCACTCAGCTGGTGTAATGGGTATGGAATCCTCCTTGATGCCTAAGATGCAAGAAAGATCCTATTTCTCTGTATTTGCAAATCAAATTATGTCCTTTCAGACCCTCACTCATCTATGCTAATCAGTCATTTGTATGACCTTGGAACATGCTTGAAGCTCTCAGGATTACTCAGAAAATAGGAAGGGGCCTTTTCTTTAGGCCACTCAGTCATCACCATCACTCTGTCACAGAGCATTGGTTCTTCCCATTTGCACAAGCCATAGAGTCGCCAGCCCTTCACATAGATACTCCCAGGCTGTGGTCCTAAACTCCCATCCTTTTAAGACCCTGACACTTCCTGTGTGCTGCTGGGAGCAATTCTAACCAATTGAAGGGACATGGTAGTATAATCATTCTTCTCAATATCAGAGAAGCTCCCTTAATCTCCTCCTAATCTCCACTGGCCACTTGTCTTTCTCCACATTTTCTCTTTAACAAGGAAATTTAATGGTTAACTAGGATGTATAAGATATTTTAGATCAAAGAGTTATCAGATAGCATTTTTGTCTTTTATGGGAATAAGATGAGTCTAATAATGCACAGGTTAGTTTTCTATCCCCAGGGATGACCAGCTACTTCTTTAAAGCAACAACAACAACAAAATATAACACAAGTCTGAGTCTTCCTTATTCTGCTACCTTAAATTCTCATTAACCCGCCTTACACACTGAGATGGCACTGAAATCAGTGCACATGTGCTTGGCCATATCAGTTGCCAAGGGCCACATGAGCAGAATATAGGAAACAAAACAACTACAAAACATGGCTCCTTCATCACAAAGCCTTCATAATCTTCTTGTGAAATGCAGTACATGTGAAAGGACCCTGAACTTTTATACATTAGGATTCCTTTCTTTGTTCTGTTATTCACTGCCCCGGGCACTATTGGAACCTAGGTTTTCTACTCTGGAAAAAAAATTAAAACATTGGCATTGTAGTACACTTATTCTCTTTAAACAACAAAATAAGGTGTGACAAGGGACTTTGAAAACTTAACAGTTTATACCAGTGTACCAGAAATTTGGAAAAAATACAGAATTTTATCACCAATGGCTTCATCTTATCTTTTCTACCCTAATTTTGTCTTTGTTGCACTGTCCTCATCCACTTAGGCTTATCTTTAATTGTGTTTTATCTTATGGAGTTCAATGTATTCCAGGAAAATGCTTCACATCTTATCTGCAATAAAATGAGATACTAAACCAGCAAACATACAGGCCTCATTTGCAGGAAATCTACAAAGTGATGCCATGTCAAGTGCTGCATAGGGATGCCAACCTTTGAAGGAGTCCAAGGAAGGAAAGAATGAGAAGGAGCAGATCAGGAAGGACTGGATGAAAGAGATAGGACATGCTGAAGAAGATGGAGGAAGGGGTGGGATTTGGACAGAACGTCATTTGTCATACAGAGCGGCTTGCCTGACAGATCAGAGCTCATACTAGTGAGCAGGAAAAGGCAAAACTCCACTTTCAAGAAGGTGAGGCATTATTCACTGTTTAAGTGAGGGCTGCACATGGTGACTTCCTTCCAAAAGGTCCATTTGGGAAGCAGACAAAAATAGTAACTTTATAGTGGAGAAATTTGACATGTAATACCTCTGCCAAATAAACAACGTTGGCATCAGTAGGGACAAGTCATGTTGATGGTATGCACTCTTCATGTGATGTGATAAAAATGGCAGCTGACCTCTGTGGTTTTTCTCCCAGAAGCCCAGAACCCCAATCTAATCATGAGAAAACTATCAGACAAATCTCAACTGAGAAACATTTTACAAAATAACCAACCTGTCCTCCTCCAAACTGATGAGGTCTTTAAAATTAAGGCAAGTCTAAGAAACTGTCATGGCCTAAGGAGAGATAATGACTAAATGTAATGTGCTATCCTGGATGGGACAGAAAAAAACACATTGGATAAAAATTAAGCAAATCTGGACAGTGGCTGGTTAGCTCAGTTGGTTAGAATGTGGTGCTAATAATGCCAAGGTTGCTGGTTCAATCCCCATATCGGCCACTGTGAACAAATCTGAATCAACTATGGGCTTTAGTTCATGACAGCATATCTAGATTCATCCATTCATTGTAACAAATATGCCATAATAATATAAAATGCTAATATTGGGGATACTGAGTGTGGGGTATGTATGTGGGTACTCTCAGTACTATCTTCATAATTTTCCTGTAAATCTGAAACTGTTCTACAATTAAAAGTGAATAAATAAACAACAGAGTTGTTGTTATTTTTAATGGTAAGTAAAGGAAAAAGATGCTGTTAAACATCAAATAAAATTGCAAGTTCTTAGCCCAAGGTCATTCAGCTAGTTATGTCTGAGTTAGACACAGAGTTGTGATCTGAGAGTCTCTGGGCCTAGCAGGTTAAAGTGAAGAATCAAAATAAAGGGAGATAATGAACTACGATGCTTAGAATATCTTCTTCCAAATAAAGACAGAGACTTCAGCCTACCTCCCCTTATAAATTTTAGAGAATACAAATGAAGCTTAGGCAAACACAACGTGCTGACTGATGAGAATGCCAATGGGAAGAAAAGTGGAATGTGTTACTTTTTCAAATTATATAGGTTTTCTTGAGTTGGCTGAAGATATATTAAACATTCCACCCTCAAACCCTAGAGGAAACACTTATATTATAGATATGCAATCTCTGCTCTTTGCAATCATGTAAATGTTTCAAGATTTATAAAGAGCATTGAGTTTGTCAGGAGAGCGGGGTCACTACTTCTGACATTCGGTCTGATGCTGGCTTGCATGTGCTGGGCTCCTATGAGGATCAAACACTTGGCCTGTGTTATTGCATTCAATCCTCACAATAATGCTGTGAAGTTAAAAACATCACACATTTCCAAGATGAAGCAAACTGCACTTCCAAGAAGTTAGATCACTGGCCCAAAGTCATACAAGTGAATTGGAACCGAGGTATGTTTATTCAGAAAACCATAGTGCCTTCTCACGACTTGACCTAAGACGAAAAATTACATTTATTTTTCAAATACTCTATCGTGCTTATCAGGTGTGAAGCACAATTCTAAATACAAGTGTTAATTTACTTACTACTCATAACTACTTATTAGGTAGGTGTTATTAATATCTGACTTTATCTTTCTGAGTCTCTGCCTTTTTTTCTATAAATGAGTTCTAAGTGTACCTGACAGCTCTCACAGACACACAATCGATAATAGGTATTATGTCTCAACGTCAAGCCCCCAGCCCTGTGCCTGACACAAGGTCACTTTGAGGACTGGGCAAAATCTTTTGGAGTGGCACCTCTAATACTCAGGCCAAAACAATGGGGCAAAAACTCATCAGATTTCATTTTCCTTGCAAAACATTTGCACAAGGTGCTATTTTAACACATATTCATTTGAAGGGGTGACTGAAAATATAATAAAGAGGTGAAGAGATCCAAAAAGCTTCTGTCAAAAGTACTCAGTCTTTCATCTTCTCACTTAACAAAAGAAAAGAAAAAGAGAGAGAGAGAAGGGAAGAACGAAGAAGGGAGGGGAGAGAGGGGAGGGAAAGAGACAGAGAGAGAGGCAAAAGGAAAGAAGGAAAGGAATGCAATAATATTTGACCTAGTAAGATCCTTCTAGAAGTTAATGAGAGACTAGATTAAATAAGCAAAATATCCAAAAGTGTAATATAATAGACTTAGTGTCAGCTAAACCTGGGATCAAATCCTTCCATCCCTTAAGAGCTATATGACCTTAACCTCTTTAAGTATTGAGGTTATTTTACCTGAAAAATCAGAGCCACGTCTACTATATAAGATTTTTGTATAATTAAATGAAATAATGTATGTGAAGAGTCCAGTCCTGTGCCCAGCACATAACAGGTACTAAACAAAAGTTCATCCTTTGCCACCCACTTCCTAGATGTCTTAAATAGCAGCAGGTAAGTACAGAGAAGGAAGGTTTAAGAACATGAAAATAAAAATGGGAAACCTTACCTTGAACCATCACAACAAAACAGTATTTGGATGGCCATTCTTAAAACTAGATGGAATCAGATGACCTCTAGGATCATAGAGAAATGTACATTTACTACACTGCAGGAAATACTGACAATCCCAGCTGACCCATCCTAACTATCGGGTCATCGGGAAAGTCATGATGCATTTTTGCATTGAAAAGCATAAAAAAATACGTCATGACTTTCCCGATGACCCAATATTTCAGATTCCTTAAAACAAGGAGCAGAGTGAAAGGGGGTTATGATTCTTACATCTTAGCTATCCTAAGCATTGTCAGCACACAAAAATCATAACTACGCCTGGAGAGTTTCCTCAATGACATTGTTCAGTCATGTAAAATATCAACACCGCAGTCTATAAATTGCATTCTTCTTTCCATTTATAAGACATGACAGCCTCCTAAGGGCAAATGCCTGAGACATCCATCAGGTAGGTTTTCAATAATCTATTTATTCCAGAAAAATTCTTCTCACTTTACATCATTCAGCTGACTTTTCTTTTTTGCTCACAGACTTTGCTACTGAAGAGCTGGATTCCAATTCCAGATTTTTTCGTTATTATACAATCTCTCTGGGCCTCAGCTTTCTCCTTTAAAATTTGGACTTAATATTATTGTCTTCATAGGGAATCGAATGATCTAATACAGTCAAAGCACCCATCAAAGTGTCTCTGCACACATTTGTTACTCAATATGTGACATTTATTCATGTTATTGCTTATTGTCATCTCTGAGTTCTGTTCCTTATTAATGGTCTCCAACAGCTGCAGCCTGAACTCACAGTGCCCCCATGCTTCACCATCTCTAAAATCCTGCCCTTCTGAGACACTTTATAGTTTCCTCATCTAGGGGATTCTGATCTAGTCCTTCACCAAGAGCTTCTGAGGAAAACACTGTATTTGGAAATCTGTGCAAGAGGAAAAGTCCTGCCCTACCTTTAAGCAAGGTTAAGAGCTGGAAATACATGTATTTTCACTAACATCGCAAAGGAAGACATGGCTATTTAACAATTGGTTAAATTTCAGGGAGAGGTGCCGAGAGCCAAGAGGACTGATTTCCAGATTATCAAATTCCTCAGGTGTGTCAGGAAGAAGGATGTCCATGAGGAGAAAAATTAAGAAAACCAAGACATTAAACTGCAGTGCAGAAAGGAGTATGGAGGTCACTGGCACTGTGAAAAATAGCATAAACGACATGGCATTCTGGAGTTGGAAGCGCTGTGACTCTGTTCATGCATTCTAACGGCATCCTTGAGGTAATTAAAATGTCTCAAAAAACGAGTGAGTGAGGTGTCAAAGCAGATAACTCAACAGAGATGTCAGCTTTCTGTATCACAGCCATCAAAACAGCGACAAAGATTTAAGACAAGAATGATTTTCACTTTGCTCGGCCAATTGATGAAATGACGGTGACTTTTTATGAGTGTGTGCTTAATAAAGTGTAGGTTTTGGAAAAGAGGGAGGGGCAGGAGGGGAAGGAAGCTGAACTGCTTGAGGAATTATATCCCAGAAAATTCTACGTTGCACTGTTGCAAAGACCTAGTTTTACCTTCTTCTTCCTATGCCAGAAATAACTTTCAAAAATGTGAAAGTAATTCTTGTTCTTCCTTCATTAAAACTCTTCAGAAAGGTCACACTTCAAGGAATGCATGGTCTTTTGTGACCTAGCTTTTAATCATCAGATGTAGTTTTTCATGAGGCTTACAGACAGTCGACACCCGTCTCCCACCCCCACCCCTACCTTCTATCCATATCTGTCCTGTGTTTCTCTAAGATATTTCTGTACATTTTTTTTGCCCTAGTTCAAGGTCCCCAGTACGCCCCCCTTTTCTGGCTCAGGTGGGATTTCCTAGCTGTTGAGCATTATCAAGATGTCTTTTGTTATGTTAATGAGGTAACTGTTGGAAAGCACTGAAGGGTGTATATAGGCTGGTTGTCAGTGGAGCCAACCATGTGATTAGAGGGCTGGAACTTTCAGTCCCACCTCTGACCTCCTGGGAGCAGAGAAGGACTTGAGGTTGAATCAATGGGCAACTGCAAATGATTTAATCAAACATGCCTATGTGATGAAGCCTCCATGAAACTCCAAAAGGATGGGGCTCTGAGAGTTTCCTGGTTGGTGAACACGTAGAAGTTCCAGGAGAGTGCCATGCCTAGAGAGGGCATGAAAGCACCATGCCCCTTTTCATAGACCTTGCCCTATGCATGTCTTCCATCTGGCTGCTCCTGAGTTATATCCTTTTATAATAAACTGGTGATCTAGTAAATAAAATGTTTTTCTGAGTTCTGTGAGCCACTCTAGCAAATTAATCGAACCCAAGAGGGGATCTTAGGAACCTCCAATTTGTTGCCAGTCAGTCAGAAGCACCATGGACTTGTGAATGGTGCCTGAAGTGGGGGAGGGAAAGGTGGTCAATACATTGGAAGGAAGAAGGGTTTTTACTCAAAACCTGACCCTGTGATGGACAAAGACCATGAGTAAATTAGTGTTGGTGAATTAGTCTACTTATGAAATGTGGCTCTGAATAATTTATATACAAGCCTTGCAGAAAGAAAGCCATGTGCCAATACTGCATGAACTCTGAGCAGACCCTGGGACAGCCAGCAGATGAATAGTGCAAGACAGTTTCCTTGAAAGGCTGATGGTATAATAGGGCAGGGGAGGATAAGGTGAAAGACAGAATTCCTCACTCAGCATCTCTGCAACCTTTTGCACTTCTGTGTCTTGCTGTGTCTGAAGGGATTGATTTCTTCATTTTCCAGAGTGACTGTGCCAAGGACCAATGTCCAAGGGTCCTTGTCTTGTGACACACTGCGTATGCCAATAGACAGCATATCAGTATTTGTTGTCTTTGATTCTGGCTTATCTATTCCTCATTTTGAGACGTTCTGATGACTCAAGAACCAATCAGGGAATATGTACTAATTTGGTGGGTTTCTCAGGCCCATTCCCCACCTTATCTCACAAGTCACTAGAGCCCCAGGGAGTGGATTGTCCTACTTAGGGGTGTCCTACCCTGGAGTCCATTTGATTAATGATAACAAATGTCGGGAATAGGTGAGAAGGTGAACTCAGAAGTCATGTAGATGAGAACAAAGACACTGAGTAGTAAAGGCGCACTGTGGCTGGGGAGTACTGGGAAGAGTAGTAGGAGAACATCCGAGGTTCTGTATGTAGGTAGTTTATGTTTCATTCATGGCATTTTCAGCAACGTTTTGCCTGGGTAGCTTGCATCTCAAAACTACTGCTGCCTCTGTGTACAATTGAGAATAAATTAATATCTGCTGTTCCAACCACTGTTACCCCACCCATTCAGGGGGTCATCCTAATGTGAGCCACATGACCCTCTCAAGGTCATGCTGTTTTGTCTGCTGGAGCCTTCAGCATGTGCATGAGTAGTCGTTTTTTACTAGAAAGAGATACCCTCTGTGTCTTCTCATTGGCTGCCACTGGGCTTGGCAGGGTCTCTGGGATGTCCTTGGGAACTCCTTGGACACTAGGTTCCAGTGGCTCTCACCAGCACTGTGGCTGTTTCTGCCATCGCTTCCTAGGCATGATCATTGTCACTGTTGCTTTGAGCCTCAGGTACAAAGGTCCAAAATCTCCATGATGGGCTGTCACAGTAGAGTGGAAATGCAGGTCTTACGTGAAGCTATTCTGTCCGTGAAAAGAAAAAGAATTTAAACAGCTCTAGCTTTCCTGAGTTCATGAAGACTGGGCTTGGAAACAAATGCAGAATATGGACGTCATGCTGTGTTTTAGATTACATTCCCCCTCTCCCGTCCAAGACTTTGTCACTCCACCAAGTTTATCTACCTCGCTCTCTCCTCAGTTTTCTCCCCAAGGTTCCTTTTTCTCTAATGCAGGCCTATCCCTGGAGTTTTCTAAGTTTGTTTTAATTCCAATGATCAGTACAGCTTAGTCTAAAAAATAAAAATCTTACTCTAATATTTTTATTTAGCAGATGGAATTATTATAAAAAATCAATTTAGGGAGAACTCAACTAACACTATCTCAAGGCAAAATTTACTACAGGAAAACTAGCTCTAAACGCTGCCCAGGAGATTGCTTGTAGCTGAGCTTTTTGCTATGCAAAATATGGATGACTACACATTTTTTTCAAGTATTCTCTAAACATTTCCACATGTGCCGTATACATAGAATTTGAAAACTTTTGAGGACACATCTTAAATGCACTTCATTTTGCTAGGTCTTGTGTACAAGGTCATCTGAAGAGAGTGATACCTAGTTCTTATCTGTACAGGAGCAAAAATGATTTTTTTTAGGTGATGGGGAAAGAGCAGAAAACCATCCCCTGTCCCCGCAAGTGCACCCTCAGTAGAAATGTATGGCCATGAAGGGAAAATCATGGATCCAGCCTAGACGCTGTGGTCTACCAGGTCTCTTGAACTCTGATTCAGACGTCAGATAAATTTCAGGTAATCATTTCAAGGCCCTCCAGGTGGCCTAACATGTTGGCATTCACTCACAGTGCACTTCAAAGCCCTTGGCTGAGGATGAGCTCTGCCATGGGTCTTCCTGACAGCACTCTGGTATCTTGGAATAAGGACAGCAGTATGGCATCTTGGTGGAAAGGTGAGGAGGCTCTATCGAGCACATTTGAGAAATTAATGAGAGTACAAAAACTAACTGACCTGTGACCTACCCATCTCAAGTTGACTCCACTGCCTGTCTTACATCAGCAGAGCTTTTCTTGTGAAATGACACTTGACTTCCACCTTGATGACTGTTACCAATTAGGATGTAATGGCATCTCAAACGCTTTGTCAAAGAATAAGGAAAGGATTTTCAAGTTCACTTTTACAAGTGAGCACATTGGAGAGAGCAAATGTTCACATGATTCCCTTTCACCAACGATGCTAATGTCTCCTTTCTGCTCTAGGTGGCACCATCCTGTGCCTTCCTCTCTCTGAACATCCAGATTCTACCCATTAGTTGAGAATTACCTGGTAGCCTACCTCATCCATGAATCCTTCTCTGGTCATTCCACTACCATTAACTTCATCTATCCATGGAAAAACTTGAGCAGAAGGGCACAGCTTATCACCTCACTCCAGAATACGTACTGCCCATTTTCCGTGCCATTTAGTCCTTTTTTTTCCCCCCTGTTCATGTTGAATAAACTTGAATGTGATATGATAAAATGGAAATAATGTGGGATTCGAAGTCACAGAGAAATAGATTTGAATCCCAACTCCACCATTTAGTAGCAGTATGAGTTAGGAATTGATTGAACAAACAAACCTGTATTAAAAATGGCTTATACAAATTGGGATTAATTTTCTCCTTATCTAACTAAGAGTCCGGAAAAGGCAACCAGGCCTGGTGCAGCTGTTCACCAATGTCATCAAGACCCTAGACCCCTGCTGTTTGATTGCTCCTTCCTTCTAAATGCACTTGGCTTTCATCCTCAAACTTGCACCTCTTGGTTGTATGACGCCTGCTGACTTCTAGGTGATAGTGCTGCTTCTTCTGTTTTTCTATTATAAGACGGGAGAAGCCAGTGCAGACAGAGAGGGGATGGTAGAGGAGGGAAGGAGGCTATCATTTGCAGAATAAAACAGACGTTTATTTTTCTTCCATACCCAAATCGGAACATTTTACCCCCACAAGCGTAGCACGTAGTCCATTATAATATACTTATTTTTCCACCACTCTACTGAAAGCAGGGACCCAAGCAATTTTCAAATTTTATCTTTTGCATTTAGAACTGTATAGAACACAGAGTTAGCATATAACTGTTGAGTCATTGAATTGAACATAAAAAAAAATGAAAAAAGCCTAAACCTCTTGAATATTATTTTTTCATTCACTTAAATAAGAGGTGTCTAAACATTATACATTTTTTAAAGTCACAATAATATCCCCTACCTACTGTGTGAATGCCTCTTTCTGCTGGTGTGGGTCAGGAGAAAAGCACAGATGTTTCTTTTGTGTAATTATGTTAGCTAATTAACAGGCCTAGGTTCGGGTCCTTGGGACCTATCAGTTTGTCAACTCGTTATATAAATAAGAAAATCCAAATTCATACATACACTGCCTAGGAGTTTGTATATACAATGAGATTTTGAGACATCCCAAACTGTCTTAAAGACTTTCTTCTTTATGTCTTTTTTTCTCCTTTGAAGTATGTGCTGTGAAAAATGATTAAAACACAGCTTATTGGATTGGGAACCTAACAAAGCAATATTGTTTTCTTTTTTTAAAGATTTTAATTAAAATATAGCTAACATACAATACTATATGAGTTCCAGGTGCAAACAACAGTCACCCAATATCTATATGCCCAAAGAAGCCACCATGGTAAGTCCTGCAATCCTCCAACACTGCACCACGCCACCACTGACTGTGTTCCCCATGCTGCACATCACATCCCCATGACTTATTTGTTTTATACCTGGAAATCTGGACCTCCTGTTCTCCCCACCCCCTTCCCCCCCCTTTCAATCCCTCAATTACAGTTGACATTCAGTATCCCTTTACATCAATTTCAGGTGTACAGCACAGTGGCCAGACATCCATACAATTTAAGAAGTGATCCCCCTAACTAATCCAGCACCCACCTGGCACCACACATAGTTATTACCATACTGTTGACTCTGTTCCCTATGCTTTAGTCCACATCCAAATGACTACTCTGTGACTACCAGTTTGCACCTCTCAATGCCCCCACCCCTTCCATTCCACACCCAACCTCCCCCATCCACCACCCCAATAAACCCAGTACCCATCTGACACCACACATAGTTATTATGGTATTATTGTCTATATGCCTTATGCTGTACCCCACATCCTCGTGACTACTCCGCAACAACCAATCTGCACTTCTTAATCCCCTCCCCTCTTTCACCCACTTACAAACCCCTTCTCACTCAGCAACCACCAAAATGTCTTCTATCTATGAGCCTGTCACTGCTTTGTTTGTTTATGCTGTTTCCCAGATTCCAGACACAAGCAAAATCACATTGCATCTGCCCCCCTCCACCCGACATACCCCACTCAGCACAATACCCTCCAGGTCCGTCCATGCCTCCACAGATGGCAAGAACCCAATCCTCTCCCTAGCCAAGCAGCACCCCACCACACATATGTACCACCTCCTCTTTATCCACTCATCCATTGATGGACACCCAGGCTGCCTCCACATCCTGGCCACTGTAAACAATGCTGCAATGAACATATGGATGCACACATCCCCTCAAAGTAGTGTTTTGGGTTTCTTCAGATAAATACCCAGAAGTGGGATTACTGGGTCCTTCTTTGTCTCTTGTTATAGCCTTTGTTTTAAAGTCTATTTTGTCTGGTACAAGGATTGCTACCCTAGCTTTGTTTGTTTGTTTCCATTTTCATGAAATAACTTTTCCCATTCCTTTACTTTCAGTCTGTGTGTGTCTTTTGATCTGAAGTCTCTTGTAGGCAGCATATGTAAGGGTCTTGTTTTCTTATCCATTTAGCCACCCTATCTTTTGATTGGAGCATTTCCTTCATTTACATTGCAAGTAATCATTGATAGATATGTGGCTATTGTCATTTTATTATTCATATTCTTGATTGGGTTTTTTTGTTCTTCTTCTTAAAGAGGTCCCTCTAAGATGCCTTGTAATTCTGGTTTGGTGTTCATAAACTCCTTTAGCTTTTTCTTGTCTGAGAAGTTCTTTATATGTCCTTTGATTCTAAATGATAGCTGTGCTAGGTAGAGTAATCTTGGTTGTACGTCCTTGCTTTTTATCACTTTGAATATTTCCTGCCAATCCCTTCTGGCCTGCAAAGTTTCTGTTGAGGAATCAGCTGATAGTCTTATGGGAGTTCCCTTGTAAGTAACTGTTGTTTTTTTCTTACTGCTTTTAAGATTCTCTCTTTGTCTTTAACCTTTGGCATTTTGATTATGATGTCTCAGTATGGGCCTCTTTGGGTTCATCTTGTTTGGGACTGTCTGTGCTACCTGGGCTTGTATATCTATTTTCTTCATCGGGTTAGGGAAGTTCTCCATCATTATTTCTTCAAATAGGTTTTCAATTCCTTGCTCTCTCCTTCTTCTGGTACCCCTGTGATGCGAATATTGGCACACTTTATGTTACCCGAAAGGCCCCTTAAACTAGCCTCATTTTTTTTGTATTCATTTTTATTTTTGCTGTTCTAATTGTGTGTTTCCTGCTACCGTATCTTCTAAATCATTGATTTGATAATCTGCTTCATTTAATCTATTGTTGATCCCCATTAATATATTCTTCATTTCAGTTATTTTATTCTTTATTTCTGGCTGGCTTTTCTTCATGTTTTCTATCTCAATTTTTATGTTTCCTATCTCTTTGTTAAAGTTCTCCCTGAGATCAGTGAGCATCCTTATAACCAGTGGTTTAAACTCTGTTTCTGGCAGACCACTTGTCTCCATTTGGTTTAGTTCTTTTTCTGGAGCTTTGTTCTGTTCTTTCATTTGGGACATATTTCTTTGTCTCCTCTTTTTGCTGCCTCCCTGTGTTTTTTCTGTGTTAGGCAGGGCTGCTATGCCTTCCAGTCTTAGTAGAGTGGCCTTATGTAGTAGGTGTGCTGTGGGGCTCAGTGGTGATTTCTTGCTGGTCATCTGAACTGGGTCCTACAAATGTGTCCCTTGTCTGGATTGTGTGTGTCCTCCTGTTGTAGTTGAGCTTTGGTTGCTGTTTACACATCAATGGGAAGGATTGATTCTCAGGCTGATTGGTTGTGAAGACTGGCTGTGACTACAGTGGAGAAGGTATTGTGCAGGGGCTGACCCTTTGGAGTAAGATTTACTTTAGCAGGTCTCTGTTGCCTTCCCAGTTGCCCTTTGGGTATGTCATCTCTGGAGGCTGCCTGGTGATGCTCTGGCTGGATCCAAAGTTGGCCACAGGTAAGCCAGGCCGGGTGCCTCCTGGGAGTGGCCCCACTGCAGGCTAA